TTAAATGGGAAAAATATCCTAGGGGTATTGTCAAATATTCCGATGAAAGGAATATTAATACTTTTAGATGGGAAAAATAACCCAGTTACATTGCAAGAAAAAATATGAATATTGTTAAGGAACCACTAAATTCAGAGTTGAATTCATGGCAAGAAAAAATATGAATATTGTTAAGGAACCACTAAATTCCGAGTTGAATTTATGTTCAAATGAGAATTCTCATGAAACTGATGTTTCAAATGAGATTAATATTGATCAGTTAATTAAAACATATGATATTTTAATGACTGAGAGATTAGTCGAACCTTGTCCTTGTCCAATAGTTACGGTAAGAGTTGATTCGAGGGACATAGACATGTTGTTCGACACAGGGGCTAGCATTTCTATAATGTCTTGAAGAAATTATTTTAAGTATTGGCCTAAAGGTAAACTTGAAAAAGAATCTATGTGTGTCAGACAATTTGATGGGTCTGAAATAATAGTTTTGGGAAAAACTAAGTTGGGAGTAAGTCTCCATGATACTACATTTTTTCTAGATTTATGGGTAGTAAAGAAAGATGTGGAAACCATCATGGGGTGGGATTGGATTGTTCAGTTAGGTCCTTTTAATAATTATTGGAATATTTTTGCAATACATAATGGTTCAGCCCGAGACGAGACTAAACCTAAAAATATTGCTTGGGAAAAAATTCATGAAATGGAAGGGACAGATTTCACCGTAAAACCAGATAATTCAACCCTTAGTTCCGATAAATATGTAAATTCCACGGAACTTATGATTAAAAACAATGCTAGCATTAATAAAGACCCAATGGTTGCTATTGGTATTCATGATTTACATAAAATGCGTGAAAATATTTCTCTTTTAATTAAAAGGTATGAAGTAATTTTTGAAGACAAGTTAGGATATCTTAATGACTATCAGGTGGATATAAAATTAAGGGAGGGATTTGCACCTATTTTCCTAGCGTGTCGTCGAGTTCCTTTTGAATGGGAAAAGGAAATTGGCGAAGAATTGGATCAATGGGTTAAAGATGGTATTATTGATTCCAGTGGAATATAGTGTATGGGCAACCCCGTTGGTACCGGTTAAGAAATCAAATGGTAAATTGAGACTCTGTGCTGATTTCAGAGTAATTGTTAATCGATGGGTAGCAGAAGTTAAATATCCTTTGCCTCGAATTGAGGAAATTTTGGCCCAGTTGAAGGGAGCGAAATATTTTTCAAAGGTTGATTTTTCATCAGCCTATTTACAATTACCTTTGAGGGAGGAGATTCGTAAATTATTGACGATCACGACTACCAAAGGGTTGTTCGCTTTTTGTAGATTACCATTTGGGTTGAGTGTGTCAGCGCCTATTTTTCAGCGCACCATGGCGTCGTCCGTTTTCCAAGGACTAGAGGGTGTATTTTATTACATGGATGATGTGCTAATTACAGGGATGACGCCTGAGCAGCATAACCATCGTTTGGAGGAAGTTTTTAAAAGAATTCATGGTAAAGGCTTGAGAGCCAGTAAAGAAGCCAGTAAAGGAAAAAGCATTTTGGGCGTAATGGAGGTCGAATATTTAGGCCATCAAATAAATGGGATTGAGGTGAAGCCATAGCAAAAAAATTTGAAAAATATATTAAATTTGAAACAGCCCAATAACAAGGCGGAAGTGCAGTCCTTTTTGGGTATGGTAAATTACTATCATCGTTTTATAGAGGATTTTGCGAAGGTAGCTGCCCCGTTATATGAATTATTAAAGAAAGGTGTTCATTTCGATTGGAAGGTGGAACAACAAGAAGCATTTGAAATTTTAAAAGGAAAAATTGGGGAAGAGCCAATTTTAGTCTGTTTCAACAATGATTTAGAAATTATTTTAGCTGTTGATGCCTCCAACAAAGGTGTTGGAGGAGCCTTATTACATGTAATTGATGGTGTGGAAAGACCCATCCTTTTTTTCCCGAGTTTTTAGGGATGTCGAAACGAGATATTCGGTGATTGAACAGGAGGCCTTAGCCGTGATTTTCGGTTTGACGAAATGCCGTGAATATTTGATTGGTAAAAAATTTGAAATTTTTACTGACCACAAGCCGTTAATCCACCTATTCCGAAAGGATAATAGGGAGTTAATGCTATCTCCCCGGTTACAACGTTGGTTGTTATTAGTGGGCAGTTTTAACGTGGAAGTTAGATATCGTCGGGGCAAGGAGAATCATTTGCCAGATATTTTGTCCAGGTTGGGTTCTGGCTGTGCAGACCCGGAAGTAAATGATAGTATAAGCATTGATAGAGAGAAGGCATTAGTGCGTTCTCTGTCTTATATTTTAAAAGGGGGTCCTACCAATTGGTAGGATTTGAAAACCAATACTGCGAATGACAAAGTTCTAGGTCAGATAAAATTAAGTCTAACAGGAGATAAACCTTGGAAAAACAAATATGATGCACGTGACATCGGATGGACTTAGATATTAGTGTGGCCACAATGCAATGTGCTGAATAAAAAGGTAAGAACCATTTTCTTTCATGTAATTTTGAGTTTTACTGTGAAATATACAGGAGGGAGTGAGTTTAAGGATTTATATACTTTTATATTTGAATTAAGCTGTGTACGATTGAAAGTATGTAATGAGTATTAGGCAGAAATATGGAAATAAGATCAGGAATTTAAGACAGTAATATTTGATATTTTATATTATGTCTAGATGTATATGGTACATCCTATTTTGATCATTATTTGGTATGCCTTAAAACTCATTGAATGGTGTTATAGGTATTCCGTCATAGGAAGCTAGACCTCACGATCTGCAGGACAGAAAGGATTACTAAATATTTAAGTATTTGAAATTTAGGAAAATATATATGGAAGTAGACTTTTGTAATGAAGTTAGGCATTTTGGGTTTTAAAAGGATGGACATGTGTGGGATCATTTATTATTAATTAATGTTAATATATTGTATTTGTAATTTAGTTATGATTAAGGTTGATATGTTATTAAAGGATCTATTGAGGGGAAGTTAATGTTGTTTATTTTGAAGTAATTAACCATTTTTATGAAATAGGGTGTAATGTGAATTACACATATGATATATTTAATTATGAATGATAATTTAAAGGAATTGAAGTATGATGAGGTCAGAATAATATCTATAATGTTAGATGTGGATAGTTATTTTGATTTAGTGTCTGCATTTAGTATATATATAAATTGGATAGAAATTTATATGATATATTAGATGGTGTATAATTTTTTTTTCCAAATTATGAAATCTTTATGTTTAATATATTTTTTTTTTAATAATAAATTTTTATAAAAAGTTTTATTTGCAATTATTATTTATTTTTATGGTATGCAATGATGTGAAGGGAAATTATTTTTACAGATAAGGTCAGCCCGTGTTGAGGGGTATGCCTTGAGGTGAAAATATTGTTTAGTTTGCATACTGGGGAAAGTTTTTTTTTGGTGTAAATTTTTTTTGTAAATTTATGCTACATAATACATTTTTTTTTTATCTTTTTAATAATTTTATAACACATCACATTTTACTATTTAATTATGAACATATTTTTTAAAGAAAAGACTCAAATTATTTTATATTGTGAAGGTATATTAAAAATTCTTTACATATATACCATATAGCCCATTATATTTTCAATTTTTGTTACTTTGCATTCTACATTTTTGTGAATTTGTGCTAATTGTGATGACAGAGTTAGGTAGAAATGGTATATTTTTCTTAGGATACTGAGTAGTTCCTAGATGGAGTTCCTTCATATATAATATTAAATGTATTTATATATGTATGTATTGTAATTTTATTTATAATCTTTGTTCGGCCAAGTTTCACAATTATTTTTAATACCTAAAGATGGATTTTTATTATTCATTTTAGGAAATATTTATAAAGATGTAGCTTTGTTTTTTTCACATGACAGAAGGAAAATTACATGTGTTGAAATTGCATTTCACACATAGACCATGTTTTCACATTACATTATTATATGTAAAATCATTATTTCCTAATTACCATGAATCATACCCAAATTATGATATTATAGCTCGTAATTCCCAAATGTCTTAAAATGAATAAATTATTATGTTTTGCGGATATTACATTGTCCATATTAAGGTTCCGTAGATTATAAATGCAGATACCCCAATGTACATGTCATTATTAATAATGTCTGTTTTCGCGATTATATATTGAAATGTACCGGAGATATTATATTATAACTCATCATACGGGGAGACGATTCGACAAATTCCCTGAACGTCTTCCAGGCGTCTCGATACAATTCAGAAAGGTGATTCGATACAATTCAAAGGGGCGATTCGATACAACACCACCACAGAGTGAGGGACGCTGGGCTTGTGAAGGGTGGGCGTGTTGTAACTGTTGAAAAAAAGAAGAAATAAATTTAATATAATACATCAAATGTCAGTTATTTTCTGACAGGGGAATTAAGTTTTCCTTGGGGGAAGAAGGGGAGATGATGAACACATGATGGGTTGATGGGAAGGATTCTTTTGTTATCCATTTTGGGATGAAGAGTTTGGATTAATTCGAGAAGATGTCAGCTAGGAACTAAGAATGGACCTTTGGGAAATGAAGAATTAGATAATTATGTGATTTGTATATTTTTTTTGTTAATGTATAGAGATTGTTGTGAGTGTTTTTTAATAAATAAAGTTGAGTCGTATTCTTATTCTTATTATTATTGAATTATGGGTTGTTATGGATTATTATAAAAACCTTTTCCTAAAAATTGATATAGTCTTTTTCTTAAAAAATTAAAATTTGCTAAGGAGAGGAACGGGGGATTTTCTCTTTATTAATTACCCCATGCTGAAAAAGCATAAGTTAGTTGTGTGGGGGTGGGGGTGAAGGATATTTGCGCTTTATTTTCTATTGCCCTAATAGTTATTGCTCTACAAAATGATTTTATACTAGATAAAAAATATTTTTTATATTGCTATATAGCAACCGGTCAAAAATTAGCACTAATTTAACTTTACTAAGTAAGGTCATATTCTTTATCTTCTATTGTCTAACTTCAAAAAAGAATCTGATGACCTTTATAAAATCTATATGAAGCTACTAGAAAATCCTAAGCTAGAAGCAATTAGTTCTGCTCTCTCAGGAGAAGTTGGTGATTGCAATGTATCAAGCAGGTTACATATAAATGATTCTTAATTTGATTATGTTGCTAAAGGATTGAAAGCTATTCCTGTAAAATGATCAGTAATGATAAAAAACTATATAAACATATGAATCAAGAATGTGGCTTGGGTCCAAATGATTTACAAGCATTAGCTCCTCCTCAAAGTATCCTATCTGTTAGTCCAAAGATCAATATTTAGTTTTTTTTAAAACCTATTTATCTATATAATAATGTAATTAGTGAAAATGAAGAAGAATATATAGATGAAAATCATATTAGTGAATTATGCCCAGCAATTAGTAGAAAAATTTTATTTTCACTTATTTCAACACTCAATGCATCCTTTCATCCTGATTATGATTTTAGTAATGCACATAGTGAAGAATTTAGTAGAGAACCAAATTTAGAAGTATAATATATCAAAGATATAAAATAAATAGTTTATATTATCAACAATGTTAAACTTTTATTATATAAAAAATAAAAAATATCTTTATATATAGTTGTATAGAATAAATGGAAAAAATTTCTATATTTTTCAATTTATTTGCAAATAAAATTATTTAATTTGCTAAAAAAAACATATTTATATATATAATTTTTAATATCTAGATAAATTTATGGGGTATGGGTTAGCTTTGCCCCTCCCCCCAACTACCCTCTACGCTTTTTCCTGGCCTTCAGATGGGTTTATAATTATCATTAATGTAGAATCTAACTCAAATGTTTTAGCCTCATGACCAATAAAAAATCCTTAAATAACTGCATTCAATAAGATTTTCTTATCAAAAAAAATAGAAAAATATTTATACTAAGTCTTTCCTTTGATTTTCCTTTTTTTTCAGAATTGAAATTGATATTAAAAATTATTGGCACACCTTTTTGTGAATTCAAGAATAGCATTATAAATTATATTTATTTATTGTCTGATTTTGTAAATAACATTGTGTTAAATTATATATTACTTTAACATAATGGGTTTACTATAAATGAGGCCTAAGATCAAAAGGAGAAAGTTATAATAAATGATTTACTGCCCCAAGGAAGGTAATATTTATTTAAAAATAAGCCCTAAAGTTTTTGAAAAGTATTTAAATAAAATATTAATGTATTTGTTTTTGAGTGCTAATTTTATAAAAGAAGAGTGCTAATCCATTTTTTAAAATTGTTTAGTTTTGAAAAAGGGGTGCTTTAGCATCCAAATCACCTCTAGTGACCCTTCAGCATGTTAGATAATTTTATTTACAAATAAATTAAAAAATATGTAAATGTTTTTCATTAAGTCTGCATGCAGCACTGTAGTTGTAGAATTTATTCTTAGATTTATTATTAACTGACCATTCAAACATGATTTGGACATGAACTAATATTTGCTGGCCAAATTTTGTCAAATGTAAATTATATTTTAAGATAGTGTAAAGGCTTATAATGATTAAATTATAAGCTTATTTAAAACATATATATAAAATTAATTAATACTCAATTAAATTAATTAATATCAAATATCTACCATTTAATCCCAAATAATGAGTATTTGATTAGATTTAGCTACCTGGCAAATATTATTTATTTATTGAGATTATAATGGTTACAAACCCGTTTTTTTGCATTTTAATTGTAATTAAATTAATGTCATTTATGATGCTGACATATTTTAAATAAATATTTATATAATATACTTATTCATAGATAACTTTAAAATATTTGTTTACCACTTAATTGACCACATATGACTAGTCAATTGACCAGATATTTTAAATTATTTTTGAACAAAATAAATATTATATTTCATTGCTTGGAATATTCTTCTAAAGCATAAATTTTCTACTCCTATTGATTTTAACAATTGTCTTATCTTTAACCCTGAATTCACAGTTAGCTTAAAGCCGTGAATGTATACTTTGCTGCGAATTCGCGCTAATATGAAGGTAACAAAGAAAAAAAAATACTGAAACGTCGAATAGTTTGCACAAATTTAGCATTTGCCATTTTCCGTACTTTTTAAAAAAAACATGGTTGCCTTTTTATTTTAGAATATGACCGATTCTAAATTTTAACTAAATTATAAAAATGAATTGGTTTTTATAATTTATATTATCTTCTGCTTTATTTTATTAATTTCTAAATATTCCATTTTAAAAGATAAGTTAACTTGTTATATTATATAATACATTTACATATAATTAAACAACTATGGACTGTGCCCTCCCCCTTATTATTCTTATCTGGGTAAGGGCGAATTTATAGTAAACGCGTTATGTTCAGGCGGTGCAAAATAAAGCCAATAAATCGATATAATTTATAATTAGGAGCGTTATGATGATAACGCTATGATAAAATTTGAAAAACCTATTTGCGATGCGATGATAAAATATATGCTATACGATTATAAAAATAATATGCGAATTCTATAAAAAGGTTTATGATATTTCTGAAATATTATGTAAAATAATTATCTCTATTTTAGAATTATCTCTTAAATTATCGCTGTGAAGAATCAGTTGTGATCGATAGCGGTAAGTAACGCAACGCTTGAATATAACGCGTTTATTATAAATTCAGCGTAACAAGATTTTATCTGCTTTCTTGTGAAAAAAACTGAGTTCCTAAAGAACATGTCTTAGACCAACGTGCAAAATAAATGAATAAAAAAGTACTAGAAAAGCCAAATTTGACCAATTTGCACGATACCATTTGAAAATAATTTTTTGCGTTTGCAATGCAGACGCTCAATTTGTGCACTCTATAAATCATGAAAACCAAGAACAATTTGAACATTTTATACCTAACGAATGAGAACTTATTATTTATTTAAATTTTTTTTATTTTGCCTATTTCATTATTAATTTTAGAATTTTTTTATTTTAAACCTTGATCAAAATTTATATTACACGTATCCTTGACAATGGTAAAATGACATAATTCAGAATTCAATTTTAAATTCATTTAAAACGTGTATATATTTTGCCATTAAAATATTATAATTTTAATATTTAAAAAAAAGGCTGTGATGAATACTATAGACCTGAATCTTTTCAGTATAATGGGTAGGAAGTACGAAAACTTTTTAAAAGGACAAGTTTGGACTTGCATAGATCAACAAATATTTTTAAAAGAATGTGTTATATACAGTTACAACCCCGATTTAGCTAGTGACCCCTTTGGTGAAGATGGCATATTATGGTCTTTTAACTACTTTTTTCATAATCCAAAGCTTAAAAGAATACTATTCTTTACTTGTAGAGCCAGCAGGTTATGGATATATTAATAATCGTTCATATATTTTTGATAATATATCTTAGAACCCCGCAACCAGCCTTCAAAAAATCAGGGTAGGTTGGAGATTAAATTTTTAAAAATTAACCCATTTTTTTGTTTGAAGTACAACTATAATTAGAATTTCTCTGGCATTAAGTCAAATCAATTATTTTTTATTAAAATTTGAAATTTAACTGATGCCGCTTTTTCGTCTATCGTATATCAGCCTATTTTAATATTGATAGTTGATATAATCAAAAATGCATTGATACCGATTGCACATATACCTTGGTATCAGTATTGGCCAATTTTCGCCTATATCAATGACCTTCTTGGTATATTGGTTTATCAGCGAATTTAATGATAGTTCATCCCTAATAATTTGTTTAATATATATTTCACAAATAAAAATTTCTGACTTGGCTCAAACGTAGAAAGAAATGGGCCAACTTTGGGCCTAATAAAATTTAATATACAGTACTTTATTACATCTATATTTCGATTCTAAAATAAGTTGAAAGAAAGTAATCAAAGATGAAAAATAAGGAAATGTCGAGCAAGCAAAAACATTATGAAATTAACTGATTAGTCTAGAATTATTAGGCTTTAGGAAATAATAAGAATAAAATATTTACTTATTTATTTTAATATGATGCTAATATTTTGTAATTATAGATATTTTTTGTAGTTATTTATTAATGTGTTTCTTTTATATTTCACAGTAACTCAATGCTATCGCAGAACTCATCAATGTTAGATGATGAAATACGCATGTTCCAATGAATTTAAATTCACATTATCATACTATTCTCATATCAGGTCAATATAAATGTGTATTTTTTTTAAAAAAAAATTATCAATATTTGATGTAAAAAATTTTTTTAAATTTATGTTTTTAAAAAATATTATTTTTAAAATATACTTTTATTATATTTAATATATTTCTAATCTAAATTAATGTTAATATTTTTTTTCATACAAAAATTTTCATTTTATTTATATTTATTTAAATAATATATATTATTGAATTGTTCTTAAATTAGTATATCTATAATATATAATTATCTTTGATTAAAAATATTTATGTTTATTATTCTTTTTCAACAGTATTTGCACACTAAGATCACATTGATATAAATATTCTTGATATGTACACCAATATATTTTTTTGTCAATTCAATACCCTTATTTATTATTTTTATATTATTATAATTTGAATTTATGAATAATAATGTTAATAAGAAATTTTTAAAAAAATTAAGATTTTATTATTGTCTACTATATTAGATATTTATATTAATATATATTTTTTGAAAATTGTCAACACCAACTATAACCACACGAGATACTTGGGAGGAAAATATTCATATTCATATTTTTAATTTAAATTTAAAATTTTTTTTTCATCACGCAGATATGATCTCATCTCACAATTATTAACAACCCTTTTTTTAAAAGAAAATAAATTGTATTTTGTATATATTCATTCAATGTCGAAATTTTTCTTTGTCAACTGTTAAAATATTGTGTAGTAAATAAAGAAAGAGTCAATATATATATATAAGGTAAAATTTATATTATAATCAGGGTAATGGGGAAGATGCATTTGGAAATTCTTTCAAACTAATACTCGCCTTATTTATTATGAAGAACGAATATTATACAAACTAGTGATTTATTATTTTTTTATCTGAATTTACTCATAATGTATATCATCTGTCCGCTGAAAAACCTTAGGCTGGAGTGGTATCGGCGATTTGCGGAATTTTTTTATAATATCAGAAATAACTTTCTCCAGCCACCCCCCTCTTCCTCAAAAAAAAGAATTAGGGATTTTTTTCCTGCGTACCGGTGGCAGCATGGTGAATTTTATGCCACATGAAACTCGTGGGATGGCATGCCTAATATTTCTCAATTTAAATGATGGATCCGAATCGTAGTAAATACCAGTTCGGTTTAGGTTCATATTAGAATAGCGGTTTCGTAAAAAATAATGTGAGTTTGGTTTTAACCTTTAAAATTCCGGGTTTCGCAGAAAAATCGGGTTCGGCTCCTCCTACTTTATAAACCTAAATATTTCTGAGTTTAGGTTCGGTACGGGTTCAGATAAAAGAACAAACATTTTATATATTCCCCTATTCCCTATTTAAAATATTAAAATTAAACTAATTATATATTATATAAAAATAGGGTCCTCCAAAAACTGGCCTAATTGTATTTCAAAATTCGATCTGTTTTTTGTACAAAAAATTATTTCTCGGTTTGACGTTAGGCTGTTTTAGGTCAGCTTACGTTGGGTACCTAATTGCTTTTTAGTATAGGCTAAAAAGTATTTGATCGAGGACACCCTATTTTGGTTTATTTTAAGCTGATGGCATTGCTATTTTTTGTATTTTATTCTCGTTTTTTTGGTTATATTTTTTTTCATTAAAAATTTTTTTTTGACTATTTAGCCGGTACTTAAAAGACGACTAAATAGTAGGCTATTAAATATTAAGCCAACCTAGGACACCAACTAGCTTTTATTTTTCTGCCAATAATTTGTAAAAAAACTAAAGTTTTACCTGACCATGTAGTATGGTCGCTAGAAGAACTGTAGTGTTCTCTGACATTTTCGTGATTTTTTGAGATGGAACTTCAGAGATTTTATAATATTTTTAAATGACAATATGTTGTGGGGACCAGACAACGATGGGTATGAGGAAGATTATAAATGTCTTTAATTTTTAGTATTTATTTATTTTCTTGTTATCATTATGAGTATCATAAATCTCAACTAGGCTGAAATTAAGATTTTTAGGAAAAGTAGAGATCCAAATGAAGTTCCAAATAAAGGATCTGCCTAGAAGTCCATAATATTGATTCACCATTTAGCCTCAGGCCATCAGATAATGTTAAATTTGCAAGCTATAAAACTGAGAAGTAAGAGCCCTAGCGAGACTCGGCAAATTATTGAATTATTTCATGTCTCGCATATCTAGACTATATGCAACCATTGATACGTTATGAGTTTGGTTGAACGAAGCGAGTCGGGAATCTATTATAGCAATTCAATAACTTATTAATAAAAATTTAAATGTTTTGTGGGTTAAAAAAAATGGCAGATAAAACAGCTTCTGACAAAAAGCCAGGGATTTTCATGATATCAGAGGCCGAATTTAGTAAGTTATCTTTAGGATTTATAGAAGAAGATACTATGGTGTTCTTCAACAAGATGCCAAAAGTAAGGACAGATAAAAGACTTGAGGGCCAGAAATATAAGCCTCCAATATTTGAGGTGTAAACGTGAAAATATTTAAATATATATTAAGCAATAAAATTAATGATCACAGGAAAGATATAAATGAATCAACTCTTTAGCGGCTTATTAACCCTTGTCCCCTTCTTACCCGCTTTAAAAATGATTAGGCCCGACCCTTCCCGTACTAGCCTTAAATATAAAAGGTTTATTTTTGCGTTTGATAAGAAAATAGATCCTCTTATCTGCTCCAAAATCCGGAAAGAAAGAAAAGAAGAAAAATATTGGAGGAAAAATATAGTTTTAAAGTCTTACAAATTTGGTCAAAAATATATTTCTTTTTTTTCCCTCGAAAATTTGAAATTATAAAAATATGTCTTAACTTTTATCACGTTTTAAAATATTAATTTGTCGCTAAGGAAATATATACTACCTGAGGTTTTAAAATAATCACTTAACTCACTTTAAAAATAAATAAGAAAAAAAAATACTCTAAAATAATAAACACACCATTTTTTTTGGTATATTTTAGATAATATAATAAATATACTTAGATTGATTTTGGTGTGATCGAAAGTTTAAAACTTTTTAAACTAAAATATATAATATTCATTCATTATAATCTTTAAAAAAAATACCCAAATCTTATAGATTGGAACGAAAAAACGGGTTCAATTTAATCAAATCCATAAACAAATTATGACATAAATAATGTTTGGAAGGTGTAAAATATTAGTCAAGTAGAAATAAGCAATTTGATTCGATTTTAAAGGACAATATAAATAGCAAAATGAAGGACAGATCTAATTGTTTAATATTCATTATCGTTTTTCTCAATATATGGATTACTCATCTGTTTGCTAGTGGAATATTATATAATACTCCCACTAAAGTCCTAACCAATTCCGACCCATCAAGCGATGAAGATTATACGGGTACGCTCATATAAAATTACAAATTATAGAAATATATATTTATATACACGAATTTATATCTTAAATAATTAAATTTCACCACAATATTTTAGAGTTTACCAAAACATGCGGAATATATAATTAAAATAACTGCTATCGATTTCTGAAAATAAAAATCATTTTTTTAAACAAAATATCAGGATGAAATCGTTAAATTAATAAATGGAGTACATGTCAATTATAAAAAATTATTATAGTTTATAGAGAGTTTTCTTTAAAAAAAAACTAGAATTCAGACGTCAAAATATCTATATCTGGGACATGAAAAATAGCCTGATTAATTTATATATAAAAATTTTTTGTAACCTTTAATATAGATTCGGAAGAATATGAAATAACGGGAGTCATACCTATAAAAGGCCCCTATTTTTCCGGGGCGACCGGCTGGAGTCATTTAAGGGTCAAAAATAGCATTTATCTTTTCACCTGGAGTTCTAAAACTATATGGATATCAAAAATGGAGGATTCCGAGGATGATCAACTGAAATACGAACTGTTGTTATCAGAGGATATAGGAATGACTCACCAAATCAAGGTTATTAACTCGTTTATTAAATATATATATACATTAAAAATTGATCTAATTATACTGGTGTATGCAAAATAGCTCCATTTGAGCTTATTTTTAAAAATCACTAAAGCTCGAGATTCAGCTAATAGATGTCCAAATCTTTGTGACAAAAGTAAAATTTTTATGGGTAAAATACTGTTATTAAAAACCGGCCCAAATAGAGCGATTTTGCATCATATCATCACTACATTATACTATATTTTTTTTACGATTTTTCGATATTTTAAACTTTTAACGCCTTTTGTTAAATTTTTGCTTCCTCGAAAAACATTATAAGCAGGTTATCTTAAATTCTGCGTATTCCGATTTTGCCTATATATAAGACTGCTTTAAGCTGTGTATACCATTTTTTAAAAAAATCGAAAAGCTTTAAAACTTTCAAAATTGATAAAATTTTCTAGAATTATGCTATTATGCTTTGGGCATGTTTTCATTTTTATATCTATAAAATAGTTTATTTTTTATTTTCATTAAAGTTTCGAATAACTTTTTTGTAATGTTTTGGACACATAGCTTTAAGAAAAAAAATAAAGCGAACTATTTATTTTGAAATACATATTCTTAAACAGCGATAATTATTTCTACAAAGTCTTACCAAAATAAACAATGTATGAAAGAGGTTTGAGATGGATCAGCATTTTAACGTTTTTGAGTTTAAATTGATAGCAGCTCAGATGACGAAGGCCAAACCTTCTCAAATTTTTTAAATACGGAGTAATTAAGTTGACTAACTTGATCCCATATATTTTATTCTTCTTTCCTTTTATATATATAATATATACATACCAAAAAACAATAAAAAAACACAGGGTTATATGCTTCACGATAGGATATATCTAGCCATAATCCGTATCGATTCGGAATACTTAGACAGTATATCGGCCTCATATTTATGCCTTTTTGAGCCTGGTTACCCTATAAAATCTTCTGTCGATCCCCATTCACAGGGCTCATCAAACTCTAAATTATCCATCATCCAAAGCTTGCCTACCCATGGTAAGTCTCATTTGGAACTTTTTTCCAAGAACATGGAAAACTTTTTGACCATAACTAATCTGGAAATAACGGATGGCGACAAACACGACATAGAATTCGTGTAAGATAATTAAATTTATCTTTAGGAAAAAAAATAAATGTGGATAATATTTTTAATAAATTTATAACAAACGATTATAAAATTTATAATATATATTTGGTAGGTATATAAGACTTATTTTTGTAATTTTATAATAAAATAAAAGGGTTGAAGGTGGGGTAAGTAGGGGTGGGGGGTTTAAATGTTAAAAATCAAGTTTACAAATGTTTCCAATGCAACTCATATGGGCAAAAATTTAACTTTGCTCATTGTTGTGGAATGCCTTTAATTTACTGTAGCATATTTGTGTTTTGTTCGGTCGGTCAAAATATTTAACACTCTTAATTAAAAAAAAAGTTATTTTATTTAAAGAAAATTATATCATGGTTCCCCTCTAAGTTTTAATCGTGAAATAACAATTTACAAACCTTATCAATTATATTACTATTGCTATTACGGATTATTTATTATTGAATTAAGTGTTTAGAAACTTAAAATCATAATTTTTTTTATAAATTAAATTTTTAAATATTTTTTTTAAGGATATACAAATGGGACCATGCCCACATGGACGTTTTGATTTCACGCGAATGTATCAACGCGATTAGGAATAAAGTGTTCACGATCGACGGCACACTCTACTTGTTTATACTTCAAGAGAAAGGCAAGGATGGTGATCCAGAAGTGGGTTCACCTCTCTACATGATAGATTTCGGTAAACGTTAAAAATAAAATATCGAAATTTTTATTTTTATTTCTATTTTTATTTTTATTTCTAGCAAATATTTCTAAGAGGCACATTGTAAAATATTATGGAAAGAAAAGAGAAAGTGAAAAAAATTATAAAATAAAAATTGTTTAAAATTGTTTAAAATTTGATAAAAATTGAAAATTTAGGAAAATAATGGCAAGTCAATTAGTGGCTCTAAATTATTTTTTATATATCGTAGCCTGAGAATTAAAATATTCTATCTCCACTTTATATTTTTACAGGGGAGCAATTTGAAAAAATTATATTCTATTGTTTTCAATAGGATAATTAACCTTGTATCGGGTTTTTTAATGTAAATAGAATTGTATAATTATAAAAAAATTGATTTATGTAAAAAAGTCATTTTTGATAAAAGGTGGACATAGAATAATCTAATTCTCAGGCGACGATATACATACCTTTTTTAAGAATTATTAGTCCTCTTTAAAACAAAAATACTATTAATCAATGATAAACAAATAAGTAGTTTGTGTCTTAAGGTCTACTGGAATTTAATGTAATCCAGATTCGCATTAGTTGATAAATGTGATTCTATTGTAAACTAGTGCAATCCAGGATCACATCAAATTTTAGTGTACCTTCGATATATTTAGTCATTAATCGACTTTACCTTTAAAATTGAGAATATTTTTTTTTATCCGTCTATGATAATTCCCTTCTAGAATTTTCTATTTTTATCGGTAAATATTATGTTCGGGCATGTTTGATTTAATTAAAAGCGTTTGATATAATAGAAGAATTCATGCGAAAAAAGAGAGTATGTCTAAATGCCCGATTTTGTCGGATATGATTGACTCATTTGATGATGTAATTCTTAGCATAAATATAAAATTAAATTTCAAGGGTAAAATAAATATTATAATACTGGAAATGTGCGTAATCAGGCAATATGCGTAAATATCTCATAGAATTATCTGAAGTTTATAGACTAGAGGTATTTGACAAAATTTAAAAAAAACGCCATAAATATAGGATTTAAAGTTAGAGATAATAACAAAATTTTGTTGAACCCTCTTTAAAATTTAAAGATCCAATTTTTCCGAAAATGTTCTAGTATAAGTGTAACATATTTATTCTTTAAATTTCAGAGTTGTTTTTTGAATTTAGAAATTATGTATCTCAATCAGGTATTACGTGAGTCAAGAATTAGAAAAAAAGAAAAGAAGCTTACTAGATCACAAATCCATTCTAACAATAAGTGTAGATGCTAAAAATTGTGTTAGCTATGCGCTCTTTTATAACTATAATTAGTAAAGTGATTCAGATGTTTGCATACATAATATATTTTAAATTTTTTTTAAAGATATATCTCATTCTTATATAAAGTATATTTTTATTTTAAACATTATTATGCCAGTTTACAAAAAATCTAGTATGATACAAATACTTCAAACGAATAGTCCTACTGACGTTTCATACATCGAAAGAAACGGTGCACACTATTTAATTATAACGAACTCGGATGGTTATACAGATATCTGGGGATGGATGTACGGGAACCAATTTGTCAAATACCAAAGTTTGTACACGCCGAAACCTGTCAAAGTTGAACACTTTTTTGCTCCCAACAATAAGATGGGATTGATAATACTCGATTCTTATAATGTAATTAATACATATAATATATGCAAAAAAAAATATATATATTTATTTGATTATAAGCTTTTGTTGATATTCGTTTCAGTTTAGATGTATATTACACGTTAGTTAGAAAACGATACCATAATATACATTAAAATTCTAAAATAAACTATAGAAGTATAAATAAGGGGTGTATTCGAATTCTAATTCAATTCATTTCTCTGAAAGAAAAAGAAACCATTCTCCTAATATATATTATCCAAGTATATAAGACAAAGATTAATCATTTACTACTATAATCCGAAAACCAGATAGATATACTTTTAATTTCTCTTTTTTTTTGCTATATATATTCTATTTTATTAACATAGAGTCTTGTGTATAATAATTTAACAACCAAAAATTAATATGTTTACATTTATTACACCTTTTCCCACTCCCGTCCCAGTCCACCCTAAAAATATTCTCGGAGAAATCGAGCGAACCGCAATCAGAATCAGAAACAACTATATTCGACGATTTTATCGAGAGAGAGGATTTGACGGCAATTTTAAGTGACACATATCCGGGTCATCCATACCCCTCCATCAGTTATATAGATACCATTCAAACTGAAAAATCGGTTTACTTTACAGTTGCAACTTTGGAATCGATTAGTAATTATTCCAATCACACGGAAAAGAAGCATTTTCACTCGGTGTTCAAGCTTCGATTTGAGACCGTGGAAAGTAAAGTTCTCTATCTGTTCCTTTCTTTCCCCTTTTTAATAGGTATCCTTTTTCAAAATAATTTATAATTTTTTTGCAATCTTAAATTAATACATATATTGATTACAGCACTTGGCACTCAATCATACCATTAATTAGTCTCACGAGAAAAAAGAGGAGAGAATCCAATAAGAGCCTACCATCTACTATATTTCTCTTTTCAAAAACATTGAATATTAATCAATTTTTATCAGAAACGGAATATATGCCCAACGATACCCTGATACTTCAATTCAAAAATTTGTTCGAGGAAATTCAATCTACGCTTAATAAGGTGACCGATATCAATTTCGAAATTAACACGATTCTCCAAAAAACTTTGCCTCAGAACATAACTAAAGATGTCATTATAAATGGTCTTATTATTTATTTTTTTCATTTAATTATAATTTTGACAAAAAGATGCATTTTTAATATATCTTAATCCTAACCCATATCTATAATCCCCCAAGCTCTCATTATGAAACATACTTCATCCAATTGAAAAAAATGCCTCTGAGATGGTCAATCCTTAAGTTGATCCTCTTTAACTAGGGATGATTGGAGTATATTAACCTTTAAAACAAAGGTTTCTCAATTATGCAGATTAGCTGAGTGTCTTAACTCGTCTTATTCCTAAACAGAAATCTGTTTAGAAAGAGAATATTTAGATTCAGTGCACACTTAAAAATAAAATAGAATAGGGTCTCCTAGTTCAAAATCTGAATTCCACTGGTCTAAACAGAAATAAATTTTATAAATAAGGCGAACCAGGACATGGCTATATGATTGTATAAAAAAAAGGAAGAGAGAAATATATATATTTTTTAAATGATTATGATACCAAGTTATGATAAAAATATTGTTTATATTTTGACACAAATTAAGGAGATCTGATCGTGAATGGCACCATAAAAATCCAGAATTTGGTAATTAATACTAATCGGACAGAATTTCCAATTATTGATATAAGCGAATTGGATACCCTGACAACTTCTGCCGAAAACTACAGTCTCTTCTTTGACGATATTCTTTTAACGAATCAACCGAATCAAACTTTAAACGGTAAAAAAAATGGCGGGTGGATGACGAGTAATCGTCTTGCCCGAAACTTTTAATGAAAAATGAAAAAAATATTATAATATGAATAGAATAATTTAAAAAAATTGAGTAAAATAGGGTTATATTTCCCCTCCTTCGCCCATAAAAAATAAATGAAATAACTGAAATGTTAACGTATATTTTAAGACCTATCTATATACTAGTAGTGAGAATATAACTGTACTGTATTACAAGTGCGTAACAAATATTACCCCCCCCCCCACTCCATCACAACCCCTCACCCTCTCCCTATATACAATATATTATTATAAGAAAGAATTTGAATATTAATTAGTAAAAATTAATAATTTTTAAAAATAACGACTATAATTTAAAATTTTTAGAAAAAAAGCATTTTAACAAAAAACAAAGTGAACACCCAAAAATATTTATATAAAAATGTAATATAGCCAAGCCTACAATAAGTTGACTTCTTAGCAAAATCTTGGATATGCTAGTGCTGTATTATTACATAATAATTAAACTATATATTGTAAGTTTTAAATTCATTTACAAAATAAGGGGAATTCCAATTTCTTGATAGGAATTTAACCATAAGCGACGAATTCAACTGTCCATCCATAATGGTCGAGGGAGATGTAAATGGAATTTTTATCAACGAGTTAGATCAGCATTGCTTAATGTCACCTAACCCAACCAATCCCCACTCTGACCAATCTCAAGTGATTAAAGGAATTTGGACTGTACCTCAAGATAAAAAGGTTTTCGCTAGTTTCGTGAATTACACGGGCCGGCTAAATAATCTTACTCCTCTCATAGGTTAAATTAACTTATATATTTTTTTGTTGTTTTACATTATATCTCAGACAAAATACAACCCTCTGTGATAAATTGAGTTCTTGGATTTTTTTTTCTTTATTGTTTAGTGTCCATTTGTCAATCCCTTTAACTATTATAAAAGCATCAGTGATAGTTAAGATAACTATAGACTTTGAACGGGAACTTTCTGGAACCGAAATGCATAAGGTTTTTCAGAAACAGGAACACTATAAGAAACATATTTCTGAGCGGTGCGAAAGTGATGACTTTTTAGTTGATCAAGGATCGAATAAAATGGCCATTTGTAGGCATTTTTTTAGGTTATGAATGTTATACTAATTAACTTATATATTATGGTAATCGTAGCTTCGACCCAAAACAATGAGCTGGTATTCAAGGAAGTCTCCTTCGAGAAGGGTCTTTACGTTAAAGAACTGTTGGAATTAAAAGGCACGCTTAACGGATTGGACGACTTTTCTCCCACAAATATAGAATCGAATGAAAATCAGATATCCGTTAAGGCTAAAAAAATATTGAACGGTAACCTGAGAATCATAGGCAATTTCGAGGTTGTCACAGATGTCAATAAAGTAATAGAATCGATTTATCGTAATATTTATGCCAGCTTATGGAATTGAATTATTCTACATTTTACTTTTTCTATATACTTGTATATATACAATATTTTTTGAATCTTTTCTATATACTATATATATATATACAATATTTTTTGAATCTTTTTTATATTAATATATCATAAAATAATTTTAGTGGATAAAGATGAAGGACACTCTTTAAAATTAGATTTTGACCTTTTCATGTGACCAAACATGTAGTTAGAATAGAATCAAACAAAGAAATATAAAAAAATATATTTTTAAGTGAACTTAATTGGAAAAAGGCAAACAAACTAATAAGTTACCGAAATATTTCCTTAATAAAAAAATGTATTTTTTTATTGATGAAATACTCCATAGTAAGAACATTGGGAAGACAGGGGTTCTTGTGATCGCTCAAATTTTCTTCTGGGATACTGAACTTTAAGGCCGTGACCTTGTGTTTTTTTATTTTTAAACGGTAAGCCTGTTTAGCGATCTATATAACTTCCTCAACACAGCCTAAGGCTTTTTAGATTTACGTAGGTAAAGTATCTTTGTGATTCCTTACAAACCAAAATGTATATTTAATCTACACACTTAAAATAAACCAAAATAGGGTGTCCCAGTGCAAAATCTATTAAAAATAAGATGAACACACGACCTAATGGTTATTTATTTTTTACCAAAGACTATATTACGTACAATGCGATTAAGAAAAATTCTATTTTTTAAAATATTACACTACATATAAATTTTTTATATTCACAATATTATGAATTTAACCCTTTAAAAGTAATTTTCTCAAATGTAGCTAATCTTTAAAAAAATATAAAATAAAGATTTTAATTATTTTAAAAGGTAACCCATATAAAAGATTAAACCGTATTCTATTTCTTTTCCCAAATTTTATTTTTCCAAGGAAATATCAATTATTATGGTAAAGAGTAGTCAGAATAATGAGAGATATTATTAGGATTGTTAATAAGCCCGATTAGGAATATTTTTAAAAATGCCCCCAAAATATTGTTATGCAAGTCAGAAGATTTCTCTCGGGCTTTTAAAGCAACACTAGATATTATTTTTTATTAAGAAATATAAAGTACTTCTGATTCTAGACAGGTCTACAATAAGTGAAATCTAAAGACCTACAATAAAATCACCTCCCTTAGCAAAATCATAAGCTGTGAGCTATATAAAAGGCTAGATAGGTCATTATGTTTCGTGAAACAAAACTGTTCTTTTTTTTGTAATTATGTAATTTTTTGTTTTATCTAAAAAAAATTTGAAATCAAAGAACTTGAACATCAATAAATGGATGAAGGATACCAAATTTTTGACGATCGAAGGAGAACAATCAATAAAGTCTCAAATCACGTTTGACGCACCAACCCAATTTGAAAAAGTGGTTTTTAAAACTGTGAATGATATGAATATGAATGATTTCCTCAATAACATCGTCCCATCCAATGGCGATTACCAAGTCATAACGGGTGAGGAGTTTTACCATTAAAAAAAAATTAACCAAAATTTATAAAAGTTTTTTTTTAATTATCATAACACATTTTTTTAGGTTCAATAATATCAACAAACACAAGTTTTTTTAACATTTCAAGTCTCCCAAATAAGAATAATAAAGTTTTTTGATGGAGATAGTATATAGGAACTATATCAGATATATCTAATCTATAGGATAAATTATCAACTTAAACATAGTAAAATAATAAACCATATTAGAGTAAAGCTCCTTTTTTATAGTAAGAGCGAAATACCGCGATATCACCCACGCGACACATAATTTATCGCTAAACTACAAAATAGCTGTATAATTTAACAATATATATTTTGTATATCGCTGTGTTTCGCGCTTGTTTTAATAGATATTACACAGAAAGGTAGGCGCGCTTTAAAAAAAAATGTTTGAAGGGAACAGCTGAGCAAGATTTTAAATTTAATTTTTCAGAATGGACATAAAAAATAATGCGTTCGTTGAAAATATGAATACGTTCATGTTCAAAAATCGCTTAAAATAAAAAACACGTTATTTACCATATGTCTTTCAAAAAAACGAACTTTATTTACCAACGCATCAACTAGTAAATAGTTGTATAGTCGATTTGAGATGGTTATGCTCACACTTAGTGATGCAAAATCGCTCCATTTGAGCCGATTTTTATAAGCGGCTAACTCACTATTTTAGTCACAAAAATTTTACATAAGCCTCGAAATTTAGCTAATAGATGTCCAAACCTTTGTGCCATCTATGAGCAAAATCTTCAGGTTTGGGTATTATTTTTCATGATAAAATACCGAGTTAGTCGTTTTTAGAAGATGATAACCTCAAGAGATTTCACAATAAATATATCAATTTATTGTAAAAAAATAATTGTTACTTTACTAGGTCGTAAAACATTTACCTCCGATGTCACAATAGCCAAGGATGCCTTATTCACCGGCTCATTGAACAACTTAAGTCTGGACAAAGACTTTGTGATTATCCGAGAAAATCCATCCATATTCAGGCTGTACGCTTTCGTATTCACGGATTCGGTTAGCATTGAAAAGGAGATCAATGTCGAATATGTGAACGGAAGGAATTTTTCTGACGATGTTTTGACCAAAAATTCTATTCAGAGGATAACCGGTATGTAATAATCTTGCAGGCTAAATAAGCTAAAAATTGAGAGTTAAAATTTATAAATTCGTGAAAATTTTAGTTAAAAATAATGAGATTGGCAAATTTATAAAAATTATACTAATGATTTGTTTTGTCATGATAAGAAAAAATTATTTATGAATTAAGAATGCTGCTAAATTATGAGGGAACACAAAATTCCAGTTTATATATAGTAAGTAATTTTAAAATAATGTTATAGGGAAATGGAGATTCTTAAACGATGTAACTTTCATGGGTACCACTCAAATAGACGAATATAAAAATGCCATAAATGTAGATTCAGGAGTAAAAATTAATGGGGTAGATTTATCTGAAACGATTCCCAAATTGGCAAAGAAACAAGGTGGGAATAGGTTTAAGGAAGAGGTGACTTTTCATGTTGATGCCACGGATATCGAAGGCAATATAACTATCAATGAGGAAAAGAAAATTAACGATCACGATATTATTGATATTACAGATGTGAGTAGGATACCTGAGTAGTATACAATCTTTCTATTTTTCTGATAGTTTTGGCTAAATTGCAGATTTTCTGTTAGTAATTTTTATAGGTAAAATTCACCAAAAGTTACTTACAAAAGTAAAGTCTACCCGACTTAGGTTAGTTTTTAAAATTATAATATTATAAATATCGTTTCTGGGAGGTTTGCTATCTTATAAAAGAAACCCAAAATAGTTTATATTAACTATAATCTTTTAAATATACACATATTTGTAGATTTGGACTCTCACTACGGATCAAATGATCCCGATTCAAAACTTGAATATTCTTTCCAAAATCGTGGTAAACGACAAGTTAATTTGCAATCGCGTAAATGGTTTTGACGTTAGGAAAGATTTTGTCAATTTTATCGAGCCGAATCACATCAAAGGTCCTGTCAGTTTTTCGGATAAGTTGACCGTCAATAATCTTATGTTTAACGGTCATGCTAAATTGAACGGTATTCAACCTAACTCTTACCTTAATAAAGTGAGTTTTTTTATAGTTCTTTATAATATTATGACGTATTGAGATATGAAATCCACGGGGAACCAAAATCTATCGACTTTTAAATCATTTACCTAGAGGCCATTTAAAAATTTTTAAAATATTTTGTTATACATATATAGAGTAACCTACCCTGTAAATTAAGAAGATTTTCGCCATTAACCTTAACCTAAAAATTCTTAATATGCCAGGGCTCGGTTTGGATCGTACTCGGTCTAGGGCACTAGGCCGTGTAAGAACCAAAAATAAACAATTCATAATATCCTGTCCGGGTTATAAAATAATATTTTAAAAACCAGCAAATTTCTACCACCTTTGGCCCCAGGAAATGGATTTTCTTACATATTAGTGCCAGGCCTATAAATAAATGCATCGGTTGGTCTCAAATATAGAAGGGCGGAGGGGGTCCCTATTTTAAAGGTTGATTCCTAATAATTTTTGAGGCAAATATTGGCAAACTAAAACAAATTTTATTTTAATAGGTAATATACGTGGACTCTAACGAACCTATAATATATATAAACGGTGATATCGTATTTGCGAAAGATGTCACATTTCACAACGACGTTCGAATCGAAAAATCTTTGAATGGACACGATCTTTACAAGGATTTCTTGTTAAATGGAACGGTTCAAGAATTGAAAGGTTTATTATTTTTTTGATAGAATTATTTTAAAAAAAAATAAAATGGCGAACAAATGAGTATAAAAATTAAATTCCTCCCGCGGCTCAGAAAATGTTAAGGTCTGAATTTGGGATTCGGGCTACATAACGGGCCTTGATCTAAGAAAATTTGCCGCCGTCTGCGATCTGACCCGGGTCGAAAAATTTCTGATCTCATATAAATATATATTTGTTGTTTTAAAAAAATATTTGGTATCGGTAACATTTAAATCAATATTTACTTAATTTTTTTTTATACGAATGAATATCTTATAGTGAAAAAATTTACCAGAAAATATACATTTTTTAACCAATTGTCTCCTTCTATTTTTAATTAATCGCTACTTATTGTCAAATATAATATGTGAAATATATCAACCACTTTTTGCACACCATACACAAATTCTTTCTTAAGCTTCCCACCTGAAACCGGATATTATGGTCGTAGTAGGGGACATGGTTATACAAGGTGGTCTTACTGTTATCGATGAATCGCCGGGCACTTCCATTGTTCAAGGCTATGAGCTGGAAACATTTTGCAACTCTATAGTGCATCCCTCTAATCCCTTCTTAGTTCCGGGGGAAAAAAACATTCCTATAAGGGGTAAAAAGATCTTTATAACTAAAGCGAATATTGAATCATTGGTGGTAACTGGCAACTTTAACGATATCAACGCCCAAGAGTTTCAAGATTATATGGAAAACGCAGTATTAATTGACCCTTCTAAAGCCGAGGTCGAGATAAAAGGCGCGTATAATTTGACCTTTGAAGGGAAATTGAGTATAGAGCCTACCCATACTTTGAATCATGATTATCACGAAAATTCTGGATACGGAGGTATTCCTAATAAACGCAAGGCTTCTTCTACGGGTATAAAAATACTGGGAAAACTTATTACACCTATACAAATTTTAGCGGTCGACTCTGACTATAATAAAGATTATGATAATGATAAAGGGTACCGCTACGTAGAAATAAGCAACTTCACTCGTTTCTTGGAACTTGTCATAACGGAAAATGAAATAAGTGGAGGTAATGCGCAGCCCTATATGAATGGTTTAAAAAGCCACGCGAGAATATCTGGCAAGAAAATATTTCTCGGGCCCGTCACTTTTTCCGGGGGTCTGAATGTAGGGTCAGATTATTTTTTCAACGGAGTCGATTTAAACGAATTAAAAAACAGTCTGTTGGACATTCACAGCGAACAAACCTTGACGTCTAAGCTTAACTTTGAAAAGGGTGTCACGATAAAAAATTTGATAATTCAAGATGAACAAAAGGTGAAAATATTTGGGCAATTGTATAGCGATCTCTATAAATTGGACTTGAGCGATGCCAAAAGACCATCACTAATCATCGACGAGGACGTGATATTCGAGAACGATGTTGAATTTATCGGGAAAGACGTATATATTGAGGATACCCTCAATGGAATCCCGTTTACTGATGTATATACATATATAGCGAGTTTATTATATATTATGAGTTGATGATTTATACTGGGTAAAATGTATAGGTTGCTATAAGGGCTGACATGAGGATAAATTTATTTTCACGATAGTTATACTTCCTTTATTTTGTTTGATGGGATTCTGGATCGGTTTCGATCAGTAGGTTAGGAAATTTAGACTATATGAGTTAAAACAGGACAATATAAATAACATAAATCGATAAAATGGCATTTTTATATTTTAATATCAATAAAGGGGTCGTCAATTAAGAGTTGCCCATCCATTTTAGTGAACAAATGCATTTTAAGGAGAAATTGCTTATTTTTTTTAAACTCAACCATTTATCTATATAAATTTAAATGTATAGGTGTTAGTTAAACTCGATTCCACCTCGGATGTCCTGATATTCGACAAAGATCAAGAATTCGAGGATTTATTGATTCTGGGTGATATTAAAACCCACGGAGGGGTTAATGGGATACAACTTAGAGATTTACAAAAAAATGTAATTATTCTGTTCCCTTTTATTAATTCAAATATATATATATAAATTAAAGTGTTAAAAAATACTTGTTGTAGGTGTAGATGATATTCATTTGCTAATAAAAAATAATAATTACAAAATGAGTGAATCTTAAAAATCGATTTAATTCCACGAATATTTGCTAATTTCAAATCTCAATCTTATTTAAAATTAAATTAAATTGATAGTTTTTACGTAAATAATATATTAGAGTCTAATGCACGATATCCCACAAGTCATAGAAGATAATTGGATTTTTAATGGAGAAGTCAGCTTTGGCGAAAACGTCCTTTTCAATAATTTGATCAACGAAAATAATTTAACCGAATTTTACGAAAATGCTTTATTACGCAACAATAATGGCGAGCCTCAAGTTAAAATCTTCAAAATTAAATATTTTAAAATTGATTGATTGTTATTCGGTTAGGGCAGGGAAACAAAAAAAAAGGAACAAATAAAAATATTGAATTTAAACAAAATAAAATTAAAAATAAAATATTTTACATTTTAATATAAAAATAATTTACTATAAACTTTAAAAAATGCGACAACATTATTAGATAAAAATGGTATATACAAACACATTAAAGGTCATACATGGGGATTTGACGATCATAGGATCTGATCAGGCAGGTCAGTTAACGAACATCACGGTTAACGAGGAATTCAGTATCAATACCTTAAATATCGATGCCCATTTTAACGGCTATGATTTAAATAAGCTAACCAAGAACGCTGTACATAAAAAGGCCAATCCCATTATAATTATTACCTCAAACGTGGTATACACTCATGAGGAAATACATTTCAAAAAGGGATTAGATGTAGAAGGCAAAATCTTTTATATTATTCTCATAATTAAAGAATATATATATATATTTTTATAATTAACATTTTATCTTATAGATTTCAACCTTAAAATATTTAATTTGAGATTGAGATTATTGACAAACGATTTAGTTATAAGGTTATTGAAACAGCGAATCTAATTGTGTTAGTTACGATAATGTGAGCATATAATATCATTAAGTCTAATTATGGTATATTATTCATAATAATAATAGTTAGGGTGTTTCTAAGCTTTAGAAGGATCTAATAATTTATTCAAGCCGTGAAATTACCATAGCTTATAGTTGGCTATAAGATTTTATAAAAAAAATTCGACACATTTGTCGCTGTTAGGTATGGAAATGTATAACCGCTATAATCTCTAAATTAAAAAAAAAAATTCTCTAAAAAAGGTCACATAAATGGTGCCAAGTTCCCTGAAGATTTTGTACCTATCCATAACACCGAGGATACCGTTTACGTCCCGGGACACACAATAATCTTAAATTCAGATGTTAGAGTGCTAAATGATATAGAGGTCGAGGGAAAAATCAATGATATTAAGTTGGTTCATTTTTCGGAAAGCATTTTGAATCTGGAAGAATACGCCATGGAATTAACTGGAGTTGTCAAGTTTTACGGGGATGTTATCGCAGAAAGTTTTTTTTAAAATAAATTACATTGATACAAAAAATGGTTTATAAATAGGTTTAGTACAATTTACCTTCTTTCCTAATGAACTAGGGTTAAAGTTTTTTTTAAACATTGAACTTAAGATTATGCACAAAGTTAAATACTTATCTTCATATAATACAAATCAGAAGATGTAATATTCTTTGACACTGTGAACGATATGAATTTAAGCCAAGATTTGGTGCTTAAGCACGGAGATTTCGATATAACGGGCGAAAAACACATGCTAAAGGACATGACTCTTAACGATGACATATATGGAACGTGCAGAGTTATCAATGGAATAGATTTACCGGAGCTGGCTGAAGTATTGGTCAGGAAAAGAACAAATGCTACTTTAAACTATAATATGGTAATTATTTTGAGTGTTCTTATATATATATATATATATATGTATTAATAATTTGATGGTGAGATGAGCGGCGTATCTAGATTAAAGGTTGGCCTGAATCAGTTCTTGAAGATTTTTAAAAAGCCGACCCATTACACAGATTGCTCTCTCTGATGTGTATTTTTGATTATCAGAACATGAAAAATCATACTCATTTTTTTTGATAACATACTTTTTACTATTATGAGATTTAAAAACATATACTTTAAGTTTAATAAAATATTTTTCAATTTCATCTTATATTTACCATTTGAAAAATTGCAAGATTTTCAAAAAATCTGTTGAGATAAAGCAAAACGTACAATTTCGTAGCTTGTTAAATGGGCTAAATATCAATGGTTTAGAAAATATTTTCGAAGATTCACTAGAACGTTTGAACAAAGAAATGGACACACTTTCTGGCGAAATTAAATATCACGATTTGATCTTGGATTCACAAATAAAGGCGTCTTTGAGTAATTAAAACATTTTCAAGCACGTTTTAATTTATGAAAAAATTATAATTTAAAGAAAGAAGGAACATAATTTATTTTCTTATAATTATTTAAAGGGCAACCGGCAATATTGGCTTATTGGGAAATTTCACAAACGTGGCCAGAAATGACAGAGACTTTTAGATATGATTTTTTAAGCTATTACGATACCCATTTCATTTATAAATGGGTCCATAACGGATCAGGTTGTCACAATCTTCCCAAGGAATGTCGGTATAGTTATATATATATATGGTCACATTTGTATCAAATCGACAGACGAATCTTGGCGAACACCTTAGATTTTAACAAAATTGATCTATTAATTTACCCAAATTTTAGATTTTAATCTAGTCCTCGAGCAAGAATTAATCGTGATAAAAGGAAAAGACCATTTTTTTTTATAAATCTAACTGTTTAAAATAAATATTTTAGGAAAAAATAAAAATTAATAAATAAGCCTTCTATAATCTTATATCTCGAAAACTGTTTGCGATATAATAATACAAAAATGCTTAATTTGGCAAAAAAAAAATTTAAAATAAATAAGGTGCCTTTTTTAAGATTGATTTTTGTCATCCTATATCCGGTTTGTGAGGCCATTTTTAAATTAAATGTAACTTGAAAGCCAAAGTCTAGCAGTATAACGACCTTTATAGTTTTCTTTTATATTTATACATATTGGAGATAATGATCAAAAATCCAATAGATTAATTTCTTTTAAAATTTAGGGTATTTTATTTTTATTTTATATTTTAGTCTCTATATAACAAATCAAAATAAAATCTATATTAATAAATGATATATTAAATTATTCATATTGATTATATTTGATAATCATTTAACTAATACCATCATTATATATTTTATCATTTATTTAAAAAGAATGAATGAATTTCTAATTTCCAGTATTTTTGTTTCTCTTTCTTTTTTACTACACATCCCTTTCATGGGCAGTTTGGGAGCAGTCAAAGCCATGGAACCCTCTCTGATTATTTATTGGTTTGCGTAAAACTTGGAACCAAGTTTCGAAATCGCTCCTCTCCTGACTGCTATTTTTATTTACGCATATGAACATTACGTACTCATATATCTATGCAATAAATATCCCTATAATCCCTTACAAAGGGGCCGAATCGTACAATTTACTATATAATTCGAAATAATGATATCAATATTATACATAAGTTCTTTTGCCACTTTATCAAATATTATTCTCTTCCTTGCAATAGCCCATATGTTGCATGGTATTATGGAGAAAAGAAACAAAAAATGCCGAGAATTAGAAAACTCATTCATTCTTCAATTTTCAATTTGAATACAATTAAGAATTTTTTGTTGGATTTTATAATTTTTCTTTGGACAAAGTCTTTGTGAATGTAAAATAAATGATAAAGTATATGATGTTAGTATTAATTAATATAATTGTATATGAATAATATAATACAACATTGATAAATATAGATTTTGTATTAATTTGTTATATAAAAGCAAAAACGTATTATCATAGGCTAGATGAAAATTTAAAATTTAGGCAAATTAATACTCATTGATGCCATACTCTATATATCGAATTTCATTAAAATCCAAGTGGGTCACCACGAAAAAACGTCAAATATTTGTCTTACCATTATGCATATCTCATTATAAACAAATATTAATATGTACAATTAAAATCATATTTCTAAATAAATATATAATTATAATTTCTTAAACTTATAATTGTTTTAACAAAAGATACATAGGTATAATATTTAAAAGACACAGTCATATTTTAACAATATAAATTTCTCTTTTATAAAATATTTCGAGTTTATAAATTAATATATATATCTTTAAATCGGGGGTTGTGAACCCAAATTAGGGTTCAGAAATTTAAAATTTCTTGGTTAGACATTTTGAAGCACAGGCCAAACAGAGACCGATTTATGGGCAACCCATTGAGCCAGGGGTAAAATGAACTAGGAGCTGGTTCAGTCTCTTTCAGAAAATTGGTTTCGATTTAATTCTTTCTTATCAAAACTTCCACTAAATAGAGTCTAAAATTTGTGAACCCTTATTCGCCCTGCTTTAAACCTTTTATTAATATTATTAAGCTGCGATCAAATGGAGCTCTTAGAATTAACGAAAGATGGAGCGTTAGGTGATAGAGAAATCTTAGGTCATTTCAGGGATTTTCCTATGTCTATAAATTTGCAAAAATTTGATTCATCTCAACCTCAAATTATGGATTATAAAAACGAAAAAACGGATTCGGTCCCTAATATAATGTTGATAGTATCCTCTCGAAGTATAAGCTACAGCAAAGAATGTACAACAAAATCTCCAGCGTCCTCATCTATACTTACTGGTGGATATTCTGTCAATCAGAATGAGAATGAACAGATGATTAGCAAAAATATCGAAAATAATGAACAAACCATAGCCTATTTACTGGGAGATTTTAGTCATTTAAAGAAATATAACCTGCCAAATGAAGAACATGCTAAAATTTCTTATAAGATAGGTAATAATGGAAGCGAACAAAATAATACTCGCTCTTTCATTCTGAGGGGAAAGACAGTTTTGTCGACGAAATTTGTCTCGGATGCTATATACTTCTACAGAAATCATAATTTGTATATTGTCATAGTAAATTATTTCGACAAAGCGCTTGGTAATAAACAAATTTATATTTTTTAAAAAAAATTAATTATCAATGATCTAATGCTGCATTTATAGGCACGATAGGCTCAAGTGATGTCAATATAATTGCTAGCGAAAACACAGCTGATTTGTATCAACGCATAGCAAAATATGTTTTTTCATGCGATTTAATCTTTTCGCTCAGTGTTTATAAATTCCAGCGAAAAAATTCGCTTCACTTGAGTGAATCGTGCTTGCTTAATGCAGCACAATTAAGCTTCAAACAAAGAAAAGGAAGGAAGGGTTAAAAAAAGAAAGAAAAATTATTTAGCTCAATTTATTTCATTTTATTCTGTTCCTCACAATCCTATTCCTACTTCATATATTGAATCAAAATAAATGTTCAAAAAGTATCACACAACGTGGATTCGTACATTTATAAATTCGATACCTCTGTCGAGGATTGGGTTAGGATTCAATCCATTCCAACTCATGGCGCAATTTCAGGCACCCTATTCGTATCCTCGATTTTTAAAGATTACTCAACTAGGATCCACAACAATCTGTATCTGGCAATAGCTAATATGTATGATTCAGTCGAGAAAAGTTACTCTACCCACTCATTCATTTACAAATGGGATGATGAAGCGGAGCAGGTTATACAGCGACAAATAATTTTTTTTTAATTTTATGTCCAATTTACTTTAGTGGGCGGGCTTAATTAAAAGGAAAAACATGAAGTTGTTCATTTGCTGACTCCAGAGTTCAACATTTTCTGGATGATAAATTACAAGTGAAATACTCTTTAAAATTTAATTTTAAGTTATTTTAGAAAGTGAGCAGGGATGGCAAGGGATTTTTTTTTGAAAAAATATATGTTACATTGTTTTTATCTCGTTAATAAGTTCAATCCTATTATGAGTGTACACACTGAGACTGCTAAAGATGTTGTATCCATGACTATTAAACAGAGTGGTTATGTGATTTTTGCGAACGAAAAGACGAGCAGATCGCATGAAGCAATTTTTAACAATGAATATCAAGTAAATGAATATCTACCCCTGAAATCATAGTTAGCGCGAATTAACGGAGAAGTATACAAAATTATCATACCGAACTATGTATAGTTCGCAGCGAATTCGGGCTAACTTTAAAATTAACAATTAAAAAACAAAATTTTAAAACTTCAGAGAAATTTTACGATTTTAGAATTGGATATTATTGATAAATAAATGTTACATGAACATGAAGGAATTACGGGGATCTTTCAAATATGATTTTAATAAATTTTCATACGATAATTTCTTTTAAACCTAAATCTTTGACAATTTTTCCATAAAATTTATCCCAATTTTTTTTTTACTCATAAATTTTATCATTTTTTTAGGAGCCTATAACCGTGTTTTATCATGATCCTAAGAAAGATAAATTCGTCAGAATTCAAGATCATTACATTCCTGGCGTTTCGAAATTAGACACATTTATCATTAATGGTATATTTTTTTTATCATTTTCTCTTTGATTATTGAAAAAACCAAAAATCTAATATAAATAAAATTGATAAAACCAAGATAACAAATGTATTTGATTATCTTTTAGACAATTACTATTTGGCCGCTGTGAGTCCCGTGGAGAACAAAATTTTTATTTATAAATGGCGTGAATATTTATTATTTACACTCGAAATGGAAATCCCTAATGAAGGTTGCAAATCCATTCATACATTTTGGGATAGGGGAAATCTTTATATGGCTATTGGTAATATCGGATCTTATGACCAACTTTTGATAGCTAAGATTCGCGGTAATTAATATTTTAATATTCTAACTGATCTTTATTTATTATATTATAAATTTATTAATAAATCTCTTCTTTTATTTTAGGAAACAAGGATAAAGAGGATCTAAAAAACCTAAAAAGAAATTATTTTGTCCCTTCAAAAACGCCTAAAAATCCTTATTGGGTGGAGATTGATAACGATATTAAAAAAGGTTCCGGGAATTTCACTCAAAGACGTTTTGTTAGTCCTACCTCCCATTCGGTGGTCACTTTGCCGCAGAGTACTCCTACAGAAGTGTCTGTCACTTCAAATACCTTTTCCACGACAATCGGAATCGACAAAGATATCAGAGATATTTTCACTCCCTCAGATGATTTGCATGTAATAACGGTTGATATTGTTGAGAATGATACCACAACAACAGTTTTAATGCCAACTGATGCAAATATCTCTTCCATTCCTAGCGGAATAACCCAAAAAACATTTTTAATGCCAACTGATACAAATATCTCTTCCATTCCTAGCGAAATAACCAAAAAAACATTTTTGCCCACAATTTCGCCTCACATAAAAGATTCTCTTACAACTTTATTGAGTAATTCCTCCACAATCGAAATATACGATGACACGATAACTAAAACCGCAAAATATAATATCACTACTCAAGCTAGCAGTTTTATAAACGAGAACGTTACCTACCAAACTTTAACTGATACCATACCAAAGAGTGACCTAAATATATCAACGGATAAATACGTGATGACTACTACTTACAAACCCACAGACTTTATCAATATGACCAACGTAACCTATGCGCCTGATACTACAGATATTTACGAATTAACATTTTACACTGACACTGAGGAGCCTAATAACACTTACACATCTTTGCCGTCAGGACCTTCAAGCTTTTATGTTAAAAATATGGTCAATCATACAGTCTCAATTTTGACTAATAGTTCTTCAAATAACAACAGTGATTATCATATAACATTGCCATCCACAATTCCCGATTCAAGTTCTGATATTAATATAACTTTTTCTATCACTAACATTACTCACCCTACTACGTTGGAATACATTATTGACAACACCACGACCTTAAACAATAGTAGCTTAAACACCACTACCTATAACGATATATTAAACGCCACAACCTATAACGAGTCTTCAAAAGCCGCTACCATCAATGTTCCAGTGATAACTGAGTATGACTATTTTTCAAAACCTGCATTATCTTCAGCTTCTTCAAGCAATGAGACAGAAAATAGATATCAATCAGATAATGCCACTACCACTAGGATTAATATAGAAACTCATTCTACTATATTAACTATGGGCTATGTCCAAAACCAAACGGATACTACAGGATACACAGACTACGCTAATCTTAACGACACCTTAATATACTCCTATATTGAAACTATGTATACTACCCCTAGCAATACATCTTATAATGATATAAACTCTACCATAATGAGTTTAACCCCTCTATATACAGGGCACGGAATATTACCCGAATTGTTGAATAAATCAGGGCTCTTAGATGAGGAGTTGAATATTTCCAACTTCCATTTTTTAAATCAGAGTGGAGATCACCTTAAAAAGTTTTTGCCAAAAAACATTAGCGATAAAGAGGTCGAAACCCTAATAAAAGGTATAGAAGAGGAATTGGTGATGGATTATGAGCATTTGAAGCACACATCCGCCCATACCAAATCTGTGGCACACGATCCATACAGTACTAAAAAGATAACCGATTACACAGTTACTGAGGAAAATAGTTCAACTACCCCATTCCATACCATTATACCTGAAATGGAAACTATATCATCATCAACCGAAAATATGGAGAGTACCAGAAAAATTAAGAAAACAGACATGTCTAAGTTAAAACCTGGGGGTGCATATTTTTCAAGAAACAGAAATCATCCAAATTAATTTCTTTGTTGGTGAGATAGTGAGATATATTTTTTTTATACATTTGCTATTTATTGAAAACCGTAAATTAATAATTATATAATATATATATCTAACAACAATTATTATTTTATTGCATGATTTTTTATATAATTTATTTTGTATTTGTATATTTTATAAAGAAAGATCTTAATTATTATTTATATTTATTATAGACAATTCGATTTTATATATAATCTAGTTTATATACAAATTATCACTATGAATAAATAAAGTATTTATGGGGAAAAAAATATTTTAATTTTAAATTAAAAAAAAATATTATCATGATCTAGGATTATTACTAACCTCCGAAATCTTGCTTAACATTTGAATGAATGCCGGGGAACAAAGCTTTTCAAATACTTGATTAAACCCTTCGAGATAATTACCGAAATTTCCAATTTCCCTTTCCATTTTGGATAATATCATGCAGTGCCCATCATCCTTTTCAGCTTCCCTTATATTCGAAACGCGGAAACCGAAAAATGGATACGATTTTTTCTCGATAAACCTAATTCTATACCCGTCGGCTTTAAGAGCCGATACCACTTGTTGAGTTAAAAGTTTCCAACTGCACATGTCGTATGAATGAGAAGTTTGCACTGGAAATTTAATAACGTTAATCATTTTTTGCGCGTTTCTTTGAGCCGTCATAAGACTGTTTCTGATTTCCTCAATTTCATCGGAAGAGTTTGAGGCTCCTACCAGACCGTAGTCTAACCATAGGTCTACGTTGCTTATCCCTAAGCCAGTTACTGTTTGGTCGCTTAAGAAATTTGCTAAGCCATTTTTTTCCAAAAATACCGCGCATTGCTGGTACAAGCGTTTAAATACGCCCTCGAAGTTTCGGATTCTACTATTCAACTTGACCCATTGCGCGCGATGTTTGAAATTATTTCCCAATCTAAATTCGTTTATGTCTTCGACCAGAGCGTCAAATCTTAAATAGTGAGCTTCTCTGTAAATCGCTTCGATTGGTAATTTTCTCAGTATAAAGTTAAAATTCTTATCAGTTCGTAGGTAATTAAATATAGCTCGGTATATGTAAGGATCCCTGTCTAAAAAATAATTTTCATTTTCATCTTTCATAACTTGGTTAGCATTAGTGGGATCAACTAGCCAGATTAGTTTGCAAGAGTTCGAACAATGTTGGGTAATTTTGCGTTTGTCTATGGGCAAAATTTGGCCACCCACGTTAAAGTTAATTACATTAGGATAAGAATCTATATCAACCATATATTTTTTAAACCAATAATAAAATTAATTTTATAGCTAAAACCAAAATATTATGATTCAACAATTATTATTTTTTTTTTTGAAACTAACATGAAATATTGTATGCGTAATACGTCTTTTATTTATAAAAACCAGTGTAATTAATCAAAACGTGATAGCTTACTTTTACGAATCATGCAAATTTAGCCCCAAAAAATAGATAAGGAGGGAAATGAATTAAATTGATTTGGTTAGAAAAATTAACTTATAACCAAATCTATATTAAGATGAGTAATTTGTCCCTTTACTATATTCTTAAAATATTTCGCGAAAAAAAATACTCTCAGATAGGTTAATTATATGCGTCTTTTAGCATGTTTTAATATATTTTTTATCTCATAACCTAATTTAAGATAAGCGGGATGATGGGTAAGTAATATGATGCTTAGAGTTAAATGATAGGCACCTGTATTATGCTTGATTAGTATATTACACGCGGTGTCTTTACTAGTAGCGTCACTAGTGTAGGGGAGGAGAGGGGAGACACAAATGCTCGAGAGAGACCCCTAAAAATTTTAAAAATTTTTTATATCCCCCAAAAATTATCATTTAAAAAAAAAAATTTAAAAACCTTTGAGCCCCTCTGACCCTGCATTCACAGTATAATAATTTAATTATATACTTACCAATTGTCTATAATAAAGAACAATATTCAAATGTAATTTTTTTAAGTGCTTTAAAATTAAAATTTTATTAAATGCTATGTTTGTTAAAACGGGAGCTTGCTAAGGAATCTGAAAAGTTTAAGAAGTTACACCTATAATTTTGAATGGCTAGTCATGAGACCAAACGGACATTTTGCCTACGAGCCCGCGAGAAAATGACAATATTTGAGTAGAAGAAAAAAAGAGGGTGATCAAAAATCAACAAAAAAAGAGAGAAGGTTAATATTCAAGATTTGTATCTTATATTTAAAAATTGCTTATAATTATATTTTCTTAATTAGAATTTTGGTGTATCAATACATTCTTTGAAAATTATCGTTTCGATGTAATATGAGTCTCTTTAAAAGTAAGTCGGGTTTTGATTTATTTTACATTTTTATACATTTTTTCATAATCCGCCCGTACAAACGGGAGCAGTAGGGGAGCAGCCATAGGCCGCCAAAATTAGGCAATTTTAGAGGCTATCAAATTTTGCATCTGATGCATTTCAAAGGTAAATGTTAATTTTAAGAAATTTATATAAATATTACTGATTCAGTTAACAAAAAATTATTTGTATTTTACTATAATAATAAATATTATCTAATTCATTATGAATATCAATAAAAATATATAGTTAGATTTTATGATTTTTTTAAGATGAGACAAATTTTGATGGGTGTTAAAAGGTTGAAAAGTTCATTTTCAACCCAGGTCTCCACTCTGCACCTTTTATAATTAATTATAGAAAGTTTTCAATGTTTGTAATTGTAAATAATATTTTGACAGTTTTCGGGCGAATAAAGAGCTTATAACGAATGTGCAAGCACTCAAAACATATTGATGAAATAAATAATTGCTGGCTTAAATAGAACTAAATGTAATTCTTGTTTGCGCCATAGTTCGAAATTAATACGAGATTTACTAATCTAAAAATTATATCTAATACGTTCAATTCACTTATTTTTAAAACAATTCCAGCAAATATGCCTGATTTTATATGCGCATGCAATAAATCTTATTATCTATGCAATATACACCTTTTTATAACTTATTATTTTATCGTCTGTCTACCAATAACATTAGGGATTTGGAGAGTGCAAAAACATATATTATAAATGCAGATTAATTAAAATTTTATTCTATATCACAGAGATGGACGTACCAAATGTTAAAATATTAAAATGTTGAAACCCATTTAATCTACAAAGACATGCTTATTATCGCAAGAATTTAAGAAAAATTCTACCCTAGATTACCTCAAAAAATTTACCAATCAATTTACACATGTTAATATGCTCTTCATGCCGGCAAAATTTAGCAAACATTCCTTCTACTTCAAATTACAATGTAGATATTGATTCTCCCCCTCATATAATTAATCAAGAGGCTATTGATAACATTAATATATCCCTACAATCAATAGCGGAATCTTTCATTAAAATAAAACGCTTATGTGAAAAGAAATATCCAAAGAAGAAAATATCTAGAGTAAAAAAAAGTTTTAACGATTAAAATTATACCATTATCTTCATCAAATGATGAAAAATTCGATGAAATTCTAGATACCTTAAAAATCAATTTCCCACAGCTCGATTACAAATAAATATAAATTATAAACATTATTATCATCAAATTGGACAATAAGAAAAATTGTAAAAAATTTATTTCATATCATATGGCGTTAAAATCAAAAAGTTTAATAAAAGAAAAGAAAAGAGATTTTTTTCTACACCGAATCCTAAATCCGCTAAAACAATAGATACCGCCACCGTTGCTATTGTAAAAACTTTTTATAACTTTTTATAGCTATGATGAATATAGTAGATCGATGCCTGGGGATTTTGTTTCTATATAAAATTAAAGCAAAATTTAATTTAAATTCAACAATCGCAAATATTAAATATAACATTTCACTCGAATATTAATGCGAATTTACTATTGGTCATTAAATGCTTATTTTCGGCCGACCCCTTTTAAAATTGTTAAAAAATTCTGGAATTATTTAGATAGGTAAAAAAATGAAATGAGAAGGCCGTTTATTTTAGCTCATTAGCACACCTGGTTCCAAAGATATAGGAAGAGCCACTTTGGAATCTGTATATTTTAAATTCTTATATTTCAAAAACTATTTATAGTAAAAAAAATATAATGTATAATATTGTATGTAAAAAAAACCTCTAAAGAGCTAAAAAAAAAAAATTGGCGCCAATTTGAGCCTTTACCCTTCGGTTTACCTATATTGCTTTACTTGTGTTTTTAGCAAAAAAGGGAGTTTGTTTTCTAATTTTTTTTTTTGCTTTTTATTTAGACACCTTTTATAAATATATATATACGATGTCAAAATTTTGACGACGCTAACAACTTTTCCAAGATAAATATTTTTCCCAAAAATTGAAAAAAATAGATGGCGCTAATGGTTGAATATATTATTCTTAAGGGAAAGGAAAATATTGATACATTTATAAGAAATGTGATAAAATTTTCCAGTTCTGCCCCCCCCTCCCCTCAATCTTTCTTAATAAGTTTTACATTTATCTTTACTTTCCTACTATAGCGTATTAGCTCGATAATGTATAACAGCAGCATTGAAAAAAATATTTAAATAGGCATATTACGAGCATATTTTACGAGCATATTATTTTACAAAATAAACTGTTTAGAAAGATCTCTCTTTCTGCATAATAATTTAAATTCGCTCGTTCAGATTAATTTTAAATAATTAAACCCGTCTGCAAGAATATATAATTCATGATTTTATTTGTGCGGGACCCTTAACCCTTCACATCCCGGGACGAAAATGAATTTCGGCCGGCTTTTGAAATTCCCAATACCTAATTCCTAATTAAAGTAAATTCAAATCAAATAAAAAGTAGCAAAAAAAATTTAACTACTCCCCTGTCGGTTCAAGCCTAGATGCAATTATAATTATTTTGAGCTTTTAACATTTCAAAAAATAAACGCGTTACTCGCTATTCAAAAAAAAAATAACGCATTACTCATTACTTAAACATTTTAAATATGTATAAATTATTCCCTTTTTGATAATAAAAATAAAAT